GTGGGAATGGAGAACTTACACTGTAAGTTGTCTTTTGTCTTTTTGTCTTTTAGTCACTTCTATATTCTTGTCTATATTCTTGTCTTCTACTCACTTCTATATTGTTTAATCACATTAAGACCTTAAGAAAATGTATTTATTTAATCTCTTTAAGTATATCACATGATTTTTTTCTTTCTCTTCTAAAGGATTGAGTCCACATCTCCCTTTAGATCCATTCCCCTGCTCCCCTTTACAGAAAAATCCCTCAAAAGACTGGCCATGCCTGTTGGCTTCAATTCCTCTCCTCATATTCTCTCCTGAACCCTCTGCAATCAGGCCTTGTCCATTTCGCTAACACAGATCTTGTCAACGTCACCAGTATCTTCCCTGTGGCTAAGTCTTTAAGTCATTTCTCGGCCCTTATCAACAGCATTCAACATATTTGAGTCCTTGTCACCTCCTCGGAAAACCTTTTTCCCCCACTTGACTTTGAGCATTCCACATTCTTTAACGTTTGTTCTCCCGCACCAGTCATTCCTTCTCAGTTTTAGCTTTGCTAGTTTCTCTTCACATCCTGTTCCTCTAGATGTTAAGAGGCCCAGGGCCCAAAACTCTTGTTTTCCCTGCATGTCTACACTCACTCTCTTGGTTATTTCATCCACTTTGGCACTCAAATACCATCTAGATGTTGACAGTTGCCGAATATATCCCTCCAGTCTGTACTTCTTCTCTAAACCCCAGGTACAGTTAACCAAATGTCTCAGCATCCCCACTTAGGCATCTACTAGGCATCTCTCTCTTTTTTTAAAAAAAAAAATTTATTTGAGAGAGAGAGAGAGCCTGAGCGGAGGGTGGGACGTAGAGGGAGAAGAATAAGCAGACTCTCCACTGAGCAGGGAGCCTGATGCGGGACTTGATCCTAGGACCCTGGGATCATGACCTGAGCCAAAGGCAGATGCTTAACTGACTGGCAGATGCTTAACCAACTAAGCCACCCAGGCGCCCCTCTTATGGGCATCTCAAACATGACATTCACAGCGTGCTCCCTAGTGTTAAGCCAAAGCGTAGGAATCAATCTTGATTCCTTTTCATCACAGTCCATATACAATGCAAAAGCAAATCCTATTGACTCAAATTTCAAAAGATATCCAAAGTCCCTTGACTCCTCACCAGCTGTACCACTACCATCTGATCCTGAACATCCTCTGGAGTCAGATTACATCACTCCTCCTGAAAACTCTCCAGGGGCTTCCTATTTCAGATAATTTACCATTTCCAAGGTCAAAAAGGATTTTAACCCTTTGGCTCCAATTACTTCACCGATCTCATCTCCTATTATACACCCGCTTGCTAATTCCATGCCACGTCCCACTGGCCTCTTTTCTGTTCCTCAAACCTCCAGGTATGCTCCTGTTTTAGGGCTGTGTGTTTTTTCCTGTCTAGAATGCTTTTTCATATATATATGTTTCTTTTCCTATCTTCAAGTCTTTGCTCAAATATTACCTCTGCAGTAAAGCCTTTCCTGACTATTTTATCTAAAGTTGCAGCTTTTTCCACTGTTACCTCACCCCTTTGTACGTTTCTTCACAGCACTATTGCTACACGACCTTGCATCATGTTGGTATCGATTTATTTTATTTATTTTTTAAAGATTTTATTTATTTATTTGACAGAGAGAGACACAGTGAGAGAGGAGCACAGGCAGGGGGAGTGGAGGGGAGAGAGGCAGGCTTTCCGCCGAGCGGGGAGCCTGATGCGGGGCTCGATCCCAGAACGCTGGGATCATGACCTGAGCCGAAGGCAGGCGCTTAACGACTGAGCCACCCAGGCGCCCCTCGATTTGTTTATAATCGTCCTCCTCTGCTAGAATCTAAGTTCTATTAGGGCAAAGACTTTGGACTTTGTCTTGTTCAGTCCAATGTTTAGAACAGAATCTGACACAAAGAAGGTGCTTGATGAATATTTGATGAAATAATAAATCCATGATTATCACACAGGAATGTCATTGCCTGGGGGAAAAAAAGCTTATATTGGGGTATTCATAAATGAGATAAACCCTCCCAAACACGTACGGTTATGTATTTTTAATTTACTGGGAAAAGTATGCTATGCAGTTAGAAATAAATGAGTGAATAACCCGTGTATTAGAAACTGGAGAGGTACCCAAATAATATAAAAATTGGGAATGGAAAGAAGTTTTATGAGTGTAATGAAGTCTTGAAAATTCTTTCAATACTTTTATTAAAAATTAAAGAGCTAAAATTCCTGAATAAGATCTGTGGTCATAATGAAGCAGGGACAATAAAAATATAATACCCACATGTTTTATGACATTTTATAAAAATGTACCTCATAATTGGCATGGAAATTCCGTTCTAGTTCAGAATAACATCAGTATGGATACTTCCGTTGATATTAAATTTATAAAATTTAGCAGTTTTCTATGGTATTTTACATGTTTTTATATTTTTATTTTTTTCTTAAGATTTTATTTATTTGTCAGAGAGAGAGAGAGAGAGAGAGCACAAGCAGGGGGGAGCTGCAGGCAGAGGGAGAAGCAGACTCCCCGCCAAGCAGGGAGCCCGATTTGGGACTCAATCCCAGAACCCTGGGATCATGACCTGAGCTGAAGGCAGACATTTAACTGACCGAGCCACCCAGGTGTCCCTGTTTTTATATTATTTTAAAATTTCTTCATTTCTTCCTTGGTTTTGGATGAATTAACAGACATTTCAGTAAATGTAGTTATTAACCTTCATTTAAAAACTTATCTCAGGAGTTATTCGACTTTTTCAATTTTTAACAGAGAAATTCTAAGACTCATTTATCAAGGTAGATTATTATGAAAACACTGCCCCAGTTTTTCCCTAATCAGTTCAAAAAGCACCATCCTTGACATAAGCATTATTTACTAACCTCTAAATCTCACTTAACCTATAAATAAAATATTATCTTTAATACAAGTGTAAAAATATATGCTATAAACAAGTGTTTTTAAAGTCAGTGGCAGAACCAAATCTCTATTATCTCTAAAATCACACTTTATCCTCCTCTTGAAAAGATTTAGAAGATGCAAATCAGGATTGCTGCACCGGGTTCTATCTTTGAAAGCATTTTTATCAATACATATATAAATAATAGATTATCATTTACAAAACTCAGAAGCCACATAAAGTAAAGCTACCATAAAACATATTCAGTGGTTCTGCATGAGAAAATAATTTATCTTGGATACTCTACCTTAATGTTAGTTTAGAATGAATACCATTTTCCTTCTAAGAAGTCTGCGCTGATTAGTGAAGGAGTTGCATGGTTCCTGGAAACGGGCAGAAATTAGCCTGAGCAGTTCTGTTAAGAGCAGGGTGGATAGAAAGGGTACAGTTAGGCATAATTAGGGACCGGAGAAACCAAACTAGAGGCCCACAGGAACCGGGACTCCAGACTGCTCCCATGTCGAGTAATTCCTCATATTTGGGGGCTGCTAAGTTAAGACCAATATTTTCGGGGCACCTGGGTGGCTCAGTCATTAAGCGTCTGCCTTCAGCTCAGGTCATGATCCCAGGGTTCTGGGATCGAGCCCTTCATCGGGCTCCCTGCTCGGCAGGAAGCCTGCTTCTCCCTCTCCCACTCCCCCTGCTTGTGTTCCCTCTCTCGCTGTGTCTCTCTCTGTCAAATGAATAAAAAAAATCTTTAAAAAAAAACAAACCGATATTTTCTCTTGAAAGTTTCTATAAGCTGATGTTGAGGGAGAATTTAGAAAATTCTCAAAATGCTCCAGTCTGCTTTGTATGGGTAACTGAGCATTAAAAATATTACCTAGAGTTACAGAGCTTTGGCCATCCATCTATTCCCGAACATGCTCCGTTACTGTAAGAAATGAGTCAGGAATGTAAGGGAGAAATGATCAGTCAGAGGCATGACGACTCTAGCTAGCGTCATGTTTGTTCTGTCACTCCATGGTCAAGGACAATGCTAATTCCAGTCCCAACACACTTTTCAACTGCAGACATCTATAAATAGGCCAAGATCCTCTTTTCTTACAACCAGAAATATGTCTGAAAATAATTTATCATACATTTATATGATGATAGATAGATAGATAGATAGATAAAGTTTTATTTTGGATTAATAAAAAATAGACTGATAAACTATAAGTATCTGATAGAAAAAAGGAAATTATGGTGATTTGAGATCTGAGAATCTAAAAGTGAGCCTAAGAATACAAGTCTCTATAGAGGAAAAACATGGGGTGGGGGAGCAAAGAAAATGGCCCTAGGGCCTGGCCTCCAGTCAATCACTTCTCCTTGGCATTCCCTATTCCATTTTCTATATGACTAGCAGATAGGGACACATGCTCTGAAGGAAAACAAAGCAGGGCAAAGGGACAGAGAGGAGAGAACTGCTACTTTAGGCAGAGGGATCAGGAAGGCTTTATGGCAGAATTGACATCTGAGCAAAGGTCACACTGTGATCAAATAAGGATGAGGTCTGCTGAAACCTTCCCTCCAGTGGATGAACACCTTCGCCTGCAAACAACGAAGAGGAAACCATACATAATATATTTTAATTATGTTGATATTCAGCTTTAAAAGTCAATAAGTTTGGGCTACTTTTGAATAAACTGAGTTTGAGCAAGAAAACCAGTAAAACCTAATTGGCTCGGGAGACAGCCACTGACATTCCTCAAAGAGGCTTGTGACTAAAGTACTTTTTTAAAAAAGGTGTAAGAAAGTCAGAGCAATGATTAGGATCATCTGAACCTTAGTTAAACTGGCATATTGTACCAAAGATGGCTTTGCTATTTTCTAGAGAAGGGAGTGATATTTATTAGTGACCAGGATTTTGATGGATCAAAAACAGAATGAGACAAAAAACACATTTCAAAACACAACGTTACAAAATGGCATATTCCTAGATAATATCCTCTCACACTGTTAAGTAGTATGTGTAAACATACACTAATTACGTGTGTGTCTGTGTATAATTGATAAAATGATGGATGATAAACACAGATCAGATTCTTCTGAGCAAAGCCTAAAGAACTTTTATTGTAATGCTTCCAGTAAAGAAGGTTGGTGAATTTGACTTGTATTCTCTTTGCAATGCAAGTGTTCAAAATTAAGTTGTTTATTTGTTTGCATTTCTCTCAGACAGGCTCACATCTCACTGTCAGACAAACAGATACATAGTATAATACTTGTTCTTCCATTTTTCAAGCGATAAATGGTGGGCTGAGGCTTTGAAGTCCAAGTTCCATCAAGATGCCACTTGGAATCTCTTTCTTGTAGTCAGAGTCGTCCTCTGAAAAGATTTAGGTGGATATTGTGAACCTGAAACACCAACCAAAAAGTAACTCTCATTAAAATGTTAATAATTCCAGCTCTCAAAAGGATTCCATGCAGATGATATTTTTAAAAAAGAAAAAAACTATTTTCATGTCACTTTTACATAAACCAGGAAATAGACAAAAACTGTCGTTTTGGGTCCTGAGAAGAAAGAAGGGGGCTCCCCTCCACTAAAGCCTGGGTGCCGGCCCTGTGTCCTCCCAGAGCGGGTGGATTTGCTAGAACCTTCTACGCAGAGGTGGATCCCTGAGACCCAGATGGTCTGGCGGCCCTACTACTTCATGGGGACAGAAGCAATGTCAGCTGCCTGAAGAGATCCTTCCAATCCCCAGTGGGGATACCCCACAGCTTCTCCTTTTCTCTTTTTTTTTCTGCCACAGAACAAATGTTGATAAGTTAATAGCTCCTGTTGTTTCTGACCCAGAAGCAAAGGTTAAGAAAGAGATTACACACCTGCTTGTCAGAGGAAAAGAAAATGAATGCTTAGAAATACAAGAATATCTCTCTCATGCACCCTCAGTTACTCTTATAGAAATGAAAAAGGCTTCTGACCATCAGTAACAATAGTCACAAAATTATCGATAAGAGAATATACTGACTTAGTATTGGGGGAAAATTAAGTGTGCAGATTTAAAACAAATTCAGAGCCCAGTTCCCTCTCCGAACCTCTAACCCTGTGTGCCCAACAAACTATTAGATAGCTCCGGTCAACATGCTACGGGCAACATCTCCAAAAATGAATTCATCAAAATTCCATGAGCTCTCTCCTTCAGCACCACGGTCTCCTGGCCACCCATGGAATCTCTCTCTCTCTCTCTCACGTACCACGTGATGCCCATCCTGCATGGCATGGCTCTTGGCTCCTCTGGGAAGCTTCTCTGTTTGTTTACCCATCTGCATATCCAGCTGGCGGTCCTGCTCACCTCCCTCGTGGTCCTTTCCATCTTCCCTACTACACTGAGTGTTCCTTGAGGCACAGACCAAAACGTCTTCGGTGTTTGAATGCCGGCCCTCAGCACAGAACTTGGCAGAGAGTGAGCACTTGGCACGTTGTTATTTATTAATAAACACGCTTTGATGCCTACTTTCCTCCAACCATCTACAAGTCAGACCGATACTTATAATAGGGCATGGCTGCCTTTTAGAGAACAAATTACCATCACTGACAGTGAGAGTGAGTGCTGCTAGGGAATATACAAAGAAAAGCGACAGAAAGCCACAGTAGCTTAGGACTATTCACATAGCAGAAAAATTGTAAAGGGCTTAAGAATCTTGGACACCACTACGCTACAGAACTATAGAAGGGCTGGTGTAAACAGTGATAAAATTGCTGTGTTGTCCCAGTGCTTCCCTTTTACCAGATTTATTTTTATTTATTTATTTGAGAGAGAGAGCACAAGTAGGGGGAGCTGCAGAGGGAGAGGGAGAAGCAGACTCCCCGCCAAGCAGGGAGCCCGATTTGGGACTCAATCCCAGAACCCTGGGATCATGACCTGAGCTGAAGGCAGACATTTAACTGACCGAGCCACCCAGGTGTCCCTGTTTTTATATTATTTTAAAATTTCTTCATTTCTTCCTTGGTTTTGGATGAATTAACAGACATTTCAGTAAATGTAGTTATTAACCTTCATTTAAAAACTTATCTCAGGAGTTATTCGACTTTTTCAATTTTTAACAGAGAAATTCTAAGACTCATTTATCAAGGTAGATTATTATGAAAACACTGCCCCAGTTTTTCCCTAATCAGTTCAAAAAGCACCATCCTTGACATAAGCATTATTTACTAACCTCTAAATCTCACTTAACCTATAAATAAAATATTATCTTTAATACAAGTGTAAAAATATATGCTATAAACAAGTGTTTTTAAAGTCAGTGGCAGAACCAAATCTCTATTATCTCTAAAATCACACTTTATCCTCCTCTTGAAAAGATTTAGAAGATGCAAATCAGGATTGCTGCACCGGGTTCTATCTTTGAAAGCATTTTTATCAATACATATATAAATAATAGATTATCATTTACAAAACTCAGAAGCCACATAAAGTAAAGCTACCATAAAACATATTCAGTGGTTCTGCATGAGAAAATAATTTATCTTGGATACTCTACCTTAATGTTAGTTTAGAATGAATACCATTTTCCTTCTAAGAAGTCTGCGCTGATTAGTGAAGGAGTTGCATGGTTCCTGGAAACGGGCAGAAATTAGCCTGAGCAGTTCTGTTAAGAGCAGGGTGGATAGAAAGGGTACAGTTAGGCATAATTAGGGACCGGAGAAACCAAACTAGAGGCCCACAGGAACCGGGACTCCAGACTGCTCCCATGTCGAGTAATTCCTCATATTTGGGGGCTGCTAAGTTAAGACCAATATTTTCGGGGCACCTGGGTGGCTCAGTCATTAAGCGTCTGCCTTCAGCTCAGGTCATGATCCCAGGGTTCTGGGATCGAGCCCTTCATCGGGCTCCCTGCTCGGCAGGAAGCCTGCTTCTCCCTCTCCCACTCCCCCTGCTTGTGTTCCCTCTCTCGCTGTGTCTCTCTC